CAAACCTGGTCCCCACCTTTCTTTTTTTTCTCCAAATGATTTTGAGTTTTGTTCCACATTGTTCTCCCTCTCTATCCAGGATCTCCTACATAGATCCCTTTCCAAGTGGATGACAGTGGTAGCTGGGCACCATCTAGTTCTTCTGGTCTCATAGTCATATAGTTAACAGTAATTCTTATAACGGGAATGTTCTTCTGACTAAAGGAAAGCAGGAATGCAGTGGTACCGGCCCAGGATTCCATGCAGAGAAAGGAATAGACACACCCAGAGAGCAGGTTAACAGGGCAGGGACAGAGGAACCAATTGCTTTAGCTTCTGTCCTGAGGGAGACACATGTTCTGTTAACGTGTTCCTCCTGTGCAGGACCAGGGACACGGGGATCCGTGCAGGCTGTGTCCTCCAGGAGCAAATGTTCATAGGCTGACACACAGCTCAGTGAGTAGGTCACTCCTCCAGCCTTGACAAATGTCCCTTCATAATGATCTTGGAAGACCAGGTCCCAATGAGGACCTTCTTAGACAACTTGGGGTTCTGCTCTGGAGCATGGGGTGAGCCAGCCCCCAGCCCACCCTCTTCTCTTCCTACTCTGGCTTCTTTTCACGCTGCAGGGACTTCATGGATAATCTCATGGGTCCATCAGCTTGCATCTTTAAGCTCGCAAACAGCCACCCCTTGGCTAGGGGTGCACATGCTAGCTGTGGCCTCTGCCCTTGAGAGGGTGGCCTGGGAGAAGAGACCTTGGAAGTGGGCTCAGGGCCATTTGGGAAGGAACCTGAGCCAGGGAGGGAGTTTTAGAGGAGGCAGGGGACTGGGTGGGCCCTGGTCTCATCCCAGCAGAGGAGCAGATCTAGAGGAGGGCTACACAAGGCCCTTTGAAGTCCCAGGTCCAGGACAGGGCCCATCTTCTGGGTCTAAGGGCCCCCTTCCCTCTCAGTTCATTGGGTTGGAGTGCCCTCATTCACTGCATCAACTTGCACACTGCTTAGCCTTTCTGGTCTAGATGATGAGGAGACCATGACGGCCATGATGA